CAGAGGTCCCTTCCAACCCCTACTATTCTGTGATTCTGTGATTCTGTGAGTACAGAGGAGCCCACGTGGGAATCCCAGCAAGTTCCCTTGAAGATTTTGCCATGGAAATTTTAAAGCAAACAGTTCAAACTTATGGTTCAGTGGACATCCTAAACTTAATGCACACAGAAGAGATTTTATCTGCAAAATTCTGACATCTACCATATAGATCACTTTCACACCAGTTGGTTATGTTCCTTCTGCCCTATGCAATGTTTTATTTAACAAATTACTTTCAGTAGACTCAGTGAATATGTTTTCAAATCAAACAAATCTTCCCTTACTCTTCGGTAGAAATAGATATAATCAGAGTAGCAACAAAACACTAAGTCACCTACCAGTTTACAGCCATCTTCACTTTTAAGTTCTGATCATCTTCAGGTTTGGATAATTTTAAATGTAAATTTTTACCGAGCAGTCAGTCTGCTTCACAAATTTAGAAGCACTGTTATTTTTTTGAGCTTTACTAAGTAATTTCAGACCCTGGTTTAGCCTCCTAATTAACCACAGCAGTGTGTGAACAACTATGTTCCATGAAGCACTACGAAGATGACTACGATTCCATATATTTAAATATCTTATCCAAGTGGGGGAGAGCTTTATAACCTCTAAGGGATACGTGTATTATACTCTTGTCTTTCCCTGGGGAAAGGAATCTGAGAGTAGGAGAAATAAATTAAATATAATAGTATGATTCTTTTCCTTTACAACCATCAATTCCAAATTTGAGAAATTAAATTAAATTTACCAGTGCTGCGCTGCTCAATATTATCATAAAAATTATAAAATTTTCAAACCAGCTATGTTTAACAATTCTGTAGCAGGTTTTTCTAAAATTCCACCAAGTTCTGCCTGGAAACTTAGTGATATCCACTACACAACACCGGCAACATTCAACACAGCCTGAAAAGAGAAAGAACAGCATATTGGTTCCATGGAAAATGCGGAGACATGGAATCTAAAAGGTGTAAGACATCCTAAAATGAGCTTCTACAGACTATACAAAGAATGTCCTGTTCTACTTATGTGGTGATGCTGTGGCTGAAATGATCTAAAGCTAAAGAAAGGACAGAATTTGTAGGCCAAAATAATCTCTTTTAAAAAAGCAACTCATACATGGAAAAAGCAGAGCAGCTGCCACTACTTCCATTTTAAAAAAATACTTCTATCTAAAAAAATTGCTTATTTTGTTTTCTGCATTCATTCTTTTTGTTTTGCAAAGAGGTATTACCATACTAGTGGTTTAGTAGGTTATTATTTTTACTGATTAATTCACTTGATTGCACTGCAGAGATGCTACAACTAGATTCTCTGTTCACTGCTTTTGCACCATAAACATGCTTCTTCATTTGTCTGTAAAGGCAGTGGGATCGAACCATGAGAGTCAATGGAGTCTAAGGAGCCGTTCAGGCAATCAAAGGTAGGTGTCCACATTGGGATGAGCTGTACAGCCCTCTGAATTCCATTAGCTGTAGTGACTGGATATTCATCCACTGTACTGGGAGCTCAGACAAAGTCAGCTGAAGTGCCGTTTAAGTTACCAGGTACTGACATACATATCCTAAATGGCCTCCAGCTGCCCCTTCAGAAGTGCTTTGAGTGCCTTTGCTCATGCAGACACCTACAGTCTGATGCCTCAATATAAGACTGAATCACACTCCAAAGACGGCATTTTGCTACCTACACACAGGTGTTTAGAACCGTTTTAGGCCTCTCTGGATATTCTACAGCTTCTGTTACAGTTCTGCCAGTTTCATGCAGTTGCCTTGCATACTCTCAGGCATCTGATACCGTACTAAATGCCTGCGTTCAGCCATCCCAACCCTGCTCCTATTCTGTGCTGGCTTCGGGTACATTTATTTGATTTTCATATTTATAAACAAGTGTCTCAGGCAAACCGTGTCCATCAATTTGTAAATACTCCAAAGAGATATCTTTGAATACTGGTTCATTTTGTGGCACCGCAACACATAAAAGGTTCTTACTTTCTCCAAAACAGTCCTTAGGTAAGTGCGACTTTTTAGGCTGGGAAAATATCTCCAGAAGAACATCTGGATCCACAGTGCTGGCTTCAGAATAGCTACCAGAATCACATTTCTGCACAGGAGAAGGGCAAAGAAGACAATTTATTTGCTTTCCATTAACAACGTTACCACATTTAACATAAACGAAACTTATCACCCACCCCCAAAAAAATCTGCAGTATATGAATTATCGTAACATTTCTGAACTACCAAAATAAAATTACAAATAATAGGACAGAAAAGGCTAATCCCTACTCTTTGTTTCTACAGCTTTAATTTGATAGGTTTCTTTGTTTCTTCTAGTCGACTACATTAGCCTTCCAGGAATGAAAATGTTTAGAAGAGCTTATATTATGCTACAACTTTACTTTACAGAAAACTGATCTCTTCATGCCAATCCAATTCTCTTTTCATTTTCAGAGATACAAACCATGCCTCAAAAGGCTTGAAGATGCGAAGGCCTAGCAGGAAAGAAATGTACGTATGGACTATGCATCTCAAAGAATTGTAGTTATTGGTAGGTAATGTACACACCTATAAAACTAAGGACAATAAGGAAAACAAGCATAAACAAAAGGAATAAAGCAATCTATCACCCATAAAGTGTAAGTGCCCCATATGACATGGAAAGGGAAGGTATGAGGACAGGGACAAGAACTGCCTCTGTGACAGCCGTGCTGCTCTACACTAACTTAAGGTTCTAGGGAATCTTCAACATAAGCAAAAACACAATTATTTAAATTCATGGGCATTTTAATGGTTTTAATATCAACTTTTTAATATAAATATCATTAATATAAATTAGAACATGGAGATGTTGTAGTGGGGCCACAGGAGGGTCACAAAGATGATCCGAGGGCTGGAGCACCTCTCCTATGAGGAAAGGCTGAGAGAGTTGGGGCTGTTCAGCCTGGAGAAGAGAAGGCTGCGGGGAGACCTTACAGCAGCCTGTCAATACCTGAAGGGGCCTATAGGAAAGATGGGGAAAATATTTTCAGCAGGGCTTGCAGTGATAGGACAAGGAGCAATGGCTTTAAACTTAGGGAGGGTAGATTTAGACTGGATATAAGGAACAAATTTTTTACCATGAGGACAGTGAAACACTGGAACAGATTGCCCAGAAATGTAGTAGAGGCCCCATCCCTGGAAACATTCAAGGTCAGGATGGACGGGACTCTGAGCAACCTGGTCAGATGCCCCTGCTCACTTGCAGGGGGTTTGGGCTAGATGACCTCTGAAGGTCCCTTCCAACCCAAAGCATTCTATGATTCTATGATTCATTCTATGAACAAGCAAAACTTCTGGCAACTTTATCTAAAACCAGAAAATGCTAAAGTGGTTTGACTTTTGGAGGTAGTAATCCAGAAAACTGGTGAACTTCCATTTAATTTTCTGGGTCATTGGAGGAAAGTCACGATTATTCACCTTTTTTGATGTGGAACTATACTGTATTAGAATAAGCTAAGTTTCTAGACCAGAAAAAGCATGGTTATTTTTGGAACTGTTTCTAGAGAACAAATTTTTTGCATCCAAGGATGACAGCAATCAGAATTATCATCAAAAATGAATGGTATGTATCAGATATGTTTAAAGTAAGTGTTTCTTGATTAATTTCTGTTTACTTACTTTATACTAAATAACATATTAAGTTACACTGTTAACCATGGCTGTTTCTGAAAGACAAACCTCCACACTTTAAACTACTACTACCTCTAGAGAGATATACCATCTTCACAGGGATTATACTCGCTACTCTTTGGAAAACCTCAGCTCGTCCTGTTGTTGCTGAACGAGAGGACTGCTGTGATAGTTTTCATCTCTAGCATACTCCACAAGACGATAAAAGTTATAATTACCTCTTTTTGTTCTTTCTTTCGGTGTGTTTCTGGAAAACCACTTATACTTTCAGAAGTCCCAGAAATCTGACTGAAGCCACTTGAACTCTGGCGCTGCTCTCTATGTCTTAATCTGTTTCCCTGCATGAAATAATGCAAAACAGTTGATTTTCCACATTTTTCTTCCTGACAGTCATTCTTAAAAGTCAAAATTCTTTAATGGAATCTAAACCATCTACAAAATTTTGCATTTTTGTCTTTTTACAGGTAATTAAATGACATCTCTAAAAAGCATGTAAAAGAATGGTTTCTTCCTCAATTTCAAATACTATGGTCCTGTGGTCATGCTATGGACATGTACCATTCCTCAAGATCTACATTTAGCACCCTGATGGATTCCTGCATCCAGTTCACTATGTTCTGATCAACTGGATCAGTAGCAACCTTTGCAGCTGGACTCCAACGCTCTCAGGTCTCTAGTTACAGGCAGAAGAGCTAAGTGATCTGCATCAGCTCTTAGTACTTTCGCCACTATGAATTTCAAGCTATACCAGATTCCACTGCAGTGGTGAAAGAATTTCTGTCATCAAATGCTTATGGAAAATATATTTCAAACAGCCACAGATGATTCTAAGGTGACCAGCAATTACTGCTTCTTTGAGAACTTTCCAAAGATATTCCACTGACAATGTCTTCTCTTATGACCAAAAACATAGCAAATGGATCCTAGCAGTCCACCTAGACACTGAACATATGATAATCCATCTGAAAACAACGCCTGCTTTTGACTTTTCTGCCATGGCATAATAGTAGGTAACTGTACTTTGAATCCAAATACCTGTTCTGATAGATTTAAAACAGACAATCATAGAATCACAGGTTGGAAAAGACCTCTAAGATCATCAAGTCAACAAGTCAACCATCAACATGGTGATATCACAATCATAACACAACTGACACGCACAGAACACAATCTTTAACAAGCTAATCTAGGTACAGTATAGAATCATAGAATCATTAAGGTTGCAAAAGACCTCTAATATTATCAAGTCCAACTGTCAACTCATCACCACCATGCCTGTTAAACCACATTCCGAAGTGCCACATCTACACGCTTTCTGAACACCTGCAGGGATGGTGACTGCACAACTGCCCTGGGCAGCCTGTTCCAATGCTTGACCACTCTTTCAGTAAGAAATTTATCCTAATATCCAACCTAAACCTTCCCTGACACAACTTGAGACCATTAAAGTCATCAAAGCCTACCACCTGAGCTTGCTGCTCACACATTTGGATATGTTTTTTACAACCCTATATTGCCAGATACTTACACCGTCACTTTTACCCAAGAATAAAAAAAGCACAGTTGCAACATCTTAGAAAAGCTCATTCCTACTTCACAGTGGTAGCTGGAGAAATAAGTAGAAATGAATAAAAATACTTCAATAAAAATCATAAGCTACTCTAAGAGGCTTTCTGTCTTGCTTTATGTGAAGAATCTGCAAAACAGCTCATTCTGTTGTATAAGCCAGTTTCTATCGGCAATTCCTTCAGCAGAGTTCTGAGAAGCTTTAATATTCTTTTTCTTCACCTTCTGACAAAAGATTGCAGGGAAGGTATATTGCAGCCTGCTGCTTCTTATTACTATGCCTGTGAATAAGGCAGGCTTCTAAAAGACATCAGCTTGAGGTCCTTGTGCACTGAGCTGAGCTGAAACTGCTACTGGGTGTTTCATACACAGCTGCAGTACTGTCAATGGGCTAAAAGGTATCACCCTTACCTTCCACGGGCAAAAAAATTTATATAGGAATAAGAATTTCAGAGGACGATCCAATGATTCTGAACTAAAATCATTCATGCAGATGGATCATCGTACTCAAACCAGCATTCACATCCTTTCTAAGCAATCACACCACATATAACTAATGTAATGATGCTGTCACAAACAGAATTTCATTAAGACACATCACCCCCCTCAAAGGAAAATAATCGGGTAAAATTTAATTCTATTACAAGTATAACATATCATTAGAGAGAAGAAAAGAAAGCAAAAATAAGGAAAAAAAAAATCAAGAAAGCCCAACGGGAGAAAACATGAAGAGGAAAAGCTGGCAATGTGCAAGTATATGGACATGCAGCAAGGGACACTATTGAACGCAGTGAGGACACAGAGGGTTTAACTCAGTCGATTACCCTAAGCTGCTTTGTGTCTTTTAAGATACCTTGGGGTACCCAAGACATACACATGTCATAGTTAAATACTATGACATAGTTAAATACTAGCACAGGATCTACAGGAACCAGCAGACAACTTTTTGGAGGTGCAATTAGAAGCCATATGAGACAATCCAGTACTTCAAATGGCACTTGACATCTACGAGGCGAGTTGTATGTGGAATCTTGAGATTCTAAATGGAGTAATCTGTGTCTGACACCTAGTGTCATCTGACGTGTTTCTACTTACTCCTGGCCTCCAGACTCCCAAAAGAGCTTCTATAGCTCCTCTGTCTTATTTGTCCGTCCAATGTGGATGTGACAGACACCTGAAGTATCTCAAACATCCCTAAACTCCTATGTACAGGCAAATGAATTGCCCCATTATTGACTACCATGGCAGCATAAATGCCTCGCTCACATGCAAAAATCTATATTTAGGTATCTGCATTTAAGTGTCTAAGACTTTAGCTTAATCCTGCCCAACACAACAAAATCAAGAAATATAAAGAGGAGTCCAAAGTATCATAGATGTGAATAGGGGATTAAAAAAAAATTAAGAAATTATTTTTTAAGGTGAAGCTTTTATTTGCATTCCCTTTGGATTCCATGCAACTGAGAAATAACATATAAGCAACACAAGAGCCCTGCCTTCCAAAAATTCCAGGTGCCATCTATAAGGCAAAGGAGACAAAAAGAAAGAATGTCTGTCTTGATCAAACTTCATTTAGCAATTGTCAGCAATAAATGAAAACAAAACAGACAGATGCAGAATTATGGCTATCAGTGGCAAGAATGATGAGAAAGTAGATATTCAATAACTAAGACTATTTGGTAGCTCTTGTGTTTTGAAGCAAGTAGAAGAACAAAGTAAGTAAAATGGCAGAAATGACAGAAGGGATAACATTCACTGCTGAGTCTTCGAGTTTATATTTACAGATGCAAGTTACAATAATTTTTCAAATACTAGTATTCCTTACCGGTTTTCTGTATTTTATTTCTGTGCATGCACTGTATTCATCATCACCTTCATCGGCGTAAGTCTCTGCTACTGCAATGGGAACACAGGTACTAGGACTAGTTAAAAATTCTTCATATTTCCTTGTTATTGAGGAACTCTCTTCAGTATTGTAATACCCAATGTCAAAGCAATTGTTGTCTATATCCTTTCTGACATCTGTCATGGCATAGTTATTTTCCTCTGTGTCTTTGGTAGAAATTTTCACCAAAGTCTTCTTTCTGGATGTTGTTTTGGGGCTTCGTTTCATTATTTTGCCACAATGATCGCAAATTCTGTCTTTCACAGACTGCAGGCACTTATGAATCCGTGCAATGGCAATCTGACATTTAGTCTTTTGTCCGGTTTCCTCTTCTCCCACTGAGGAGTCAGTACTGAATGAACTCAGCAGCAAGGCAATGAATAGGTTGAGCACCTTAAAATAGTTAAAGTAAGTTGGAGACATTACAAGTAACAGAACAGACATTTCAGAAAACTCTCCTTAGATTAAAACAATCTCAATCTCGCTTTTATCAACCACTGCAATGATTTTTTTTTTACTATTATACTGGAATATGAATATAATATGATGTGGCTCCTTTTGAAAGGAAAGGCAGGAGAAAAAAAGAAAGAAGTGAGGGTTTGGGCATATCAAATACATTTTCGCATACTCTGATGTCCATAATGTATGAGGAGGTAGATATGTTGAAAACCAGCAGAAAAACATAACTTTTAATAACACCTCCATCAAAAAGGTTCTGGTATAGACCAACAAACCAAGCAGATGAAAAACATTTTGTCTTCCAGTATACATGCATTAGATCTAGTATATGTCACACAAAACAGAAAATCTGGGTACTGTAAACTTTTGATAATATAAGTTGGTAAGCATTAAAAGCACTGAACAGTTTTGTTATTTTATCCTAGCAACACAAAAGATCAAGAAATCAGACACTTAACTATTGAAAGCACTGCACTTCTACACTTTTCATAGAAGAAATAATTTTGTGTATTTTGCTCAGCAGCTACCTCTTATGTGAGAAAGTCAGGGGAAAAGGAAAAAAAGACTGAAGAAAAACACATATATTAAGTAACATCCAGAAAAGAGAATAGTGTGAATACTCTTCAAATTACAAAGTTTGCCTTGGAAAAAAAAAAGCCAGTATAATTGGATGCGTTCAGTAGGGACTGAAAAATGTTGAACTCACCACCAGGTTTCCTACCACGAGGACTAGCAAGAAAATGGGAAGACACAGCCCTTTTCCAGCCACTTCCATACATTCCCACATGGTTTCAATCCATTCTCCACATAATATTCGGAATATAATCAGGAAAGAATGACAAAAATCCTTCATATGCCAGCGTAAATTCTTATTGGTGCTTATTTTACTGTAATTAGTCTCATAACAATTGCCCAAAACCTGCTTTCCTACTACAGCAAAAATAAATACAGTGATAATCAAAACCAGAGTGAGGTTACCCAGAGCACCAACTGAGTTTATAATAATTTTCATAAGAGTATTTAAGGCTGGCCAGGACTTTGCCAATTTGAAGATCCTAAGCTGTAAGTAAACACAAGAGAACAATGTGAGTGGTGAATACTGCATAGGTAGCACAGCAAACATAAAAATCAGACCCAGCATTTATCATGCTGTCTTTACCTCAGTAACACCATCATATTTTCCCCCCCAAAGGAAGGTTTTTAATTGTTCTGGTCCAAAAGCATTGTGCTTAAGCTCAGATGGCTAATGTCACTGAGAACAGAGAACTGCCAAAGGAAGCTTTCAAATTGTTTGCACTAAGTTAGATACAAGCAGGTGTAAGTCTATTAGTATCAACAGCAGTAACAATAATAGTAATAATAATAAAGTGGCTTATAGGTACTCGGATGAGGCTCACGAAAGTCATTTTGGACTAAATCAAATGTAATAAGACAAGACTTGAAAAAAGTATTTTTTCTACCACTTGCCCAACAGACTAAAAATATGATCTGAAAAGCCAGATGGGATCTATTCTATGCACCCTCATGAGTGTAAAGGACATTTTTAGTCAAATTAGCATTCAGGGCTGTTAAAATCTCTCAGTCATGATACACAAGAAGAAACAGAATTCAACTGAATGTCTATGCGTGATTTCTCTGAAAAGCTACAAAGAATGTTAGAAATAATTAGTAAATCCAGCATTCTAAAAACACAGTAAGGACATAAGCAAAAAACTAACGTTATACATAGACATCTCAGAGCTATGCCTGCTTTTCCCTAAGATGGAGGAAAACCTTGAGGAGACCTCAAGGCTAAATCTAAGCCTTGAGGAAGGCTATGTTATTTTACAAATCTCAACTCAAAAGGAAAAGCTGTGAAGGAACCTTTGCTATCCTTACGCTCATGCAAACACTCAGATAGTATCTTTTCCTGATTGAAGATTTGAAATGTAGTTGAGCAGTGCCACTCTGCAGACCTAACAGGGAACCACTGAACTCTCTGCTAGATCAAATCTCCAAGGAGGTGCACTCTGCCAGAGGATTTGTAGTATCCAATATACACAATAAAATAAACATATTTAATATATTCTTTAATATTCATTTCATATTTGCTATAATTAAACGTTCATGTTAGCTTACTACATACTAACAAAGAGAACTGATTTAACAGATTTGCCAGTAAAACAATTTGAGGGTATTTCACTGTGATCTTTTACAAATCTAAATAACACATGTACTTTTAAAACAGAATAAAGAAATAATTACCAGCCTGAGAGATGACAGATTTGTTTGAAAGCTTATTAGGCCAATCATAACAACTACACTATCAAAAATATTCCATTTTTGCTGAAAATAGTTGTAAGGATCTAGAGCAATGATTTTCAAGATCATTTCTGCTGTAAAAATCAGAGTGAAGACCTGGAAAGAGGAAAAAGAAATTCAGAAAAAGTCACTGAAAAAGTATGTCTCCTTATGGGACTGTTCCAGCATAAATATGGGGTTGTAATTCCATATTCACTCTAACATAGGCCTAACTTACCTTGTCACTTACGTAAATCATGTGTTGGTAATTGGAATGCATGCCAGGGTGCTCCAGAGCCATGAATATGGTATTCACAACAATGCAAACCATGATTAAGAGATCAACAAACGGATCCAAAATTACCAATTTCACCTTCTCTTTCAGTACTCTCCAGAATGGACAACAATTCCAAATTAGATACTTTTGAGCAGAACGTTTCCATAATGAAGGGCATTTCAGTTTTGACTCTTGCAGTTCTAAACGACAAAGAGGGAAAGTGACACACGAATAACCTTATGTGGAAGTTCATAGTACGAAGGAAAAAACAGTCAGTCATAGAAAAGTTTGAAAAGAAATATCAATCTCACGGGAGCAGAATGGCATCATTGAAAAAAACTGTTTCACTCATTCTACACAAACTAATCACAGGCTAAAGGAAAACATCAACAAATATAATAATTACAGAAACAGGTGATATTATCCACCTCTTCATATTTTTATTATACTTTATATTTATATTTTTATTTTCACTTATTATTTTATACTTTATTTATACTTTTACTTTTATTATAGCCTTGTGGTACTCCACTTGTTACTTGCCTCCAGGCAGAATACAACCTGTTCACCAGACATTTCAAGCCCAAATATCCAACCATTTTTTTGACCAGCTGGTTGTCCAGCCACGCAGCCCATAACACCTAATTTGGATGAAAAAAATACTGTGGGAGACAGTGTTCAAAGCTTTGCTGAACTCAAGTTAACAAAAAAGTTGCAGGTGTGATTTACCCTTGATAATCGCAAGTTACAGTTGCAGTTCCATGAGATACAGAATATTTATTTTACTGAAACTTACATTTGATTGTAGCATAATTTTCCCTAGTGACTTTTAAAATTATGATGACTGTTTGTGACATTTTGATCTCTTAAATCAAGTTACACAATCACCATAGGAAAAACACTAAAGAATGACTTACGTAAATTATCTGTAATAACAGTGGCTGCACTCATCAACCTCTGTCTTCGAAAGGGATCACTAATAGAATCCACTGACAATTCGTAAGACAGCAGTATCTGCTTCTTTTGTTAGAAAGATAACAGAAGACAATGTAACAAGGGAACATGAAGCAATGGCAATATAAAAATTATGTTCTGCATAAGCTAAATATGCCTTTTTCAATACACACTGTAAGGAAGGTTTTCCTTGCTGAAAGAATGTAAAACAAAACAATCCAATATCATGTGTTCACCTGTGAAGGATATTTCATCAAAACCAGTAATATTTTTCAAGAAGTTGTTTCCTTCTGAAAATATTTAACAACAAGAATAATGACTTTATAGAAGCAGTACAGACTCCTTAACAGGGGAGCAAAGGAAAAAAATCATTCCATCTTCCCAGTGACTGATAAATAGAACATACAAAAAGAACACTGGTGATCAGTTTTAATAAATTATTGGCTATTTAACTATATATTTATTAAAAAGTTATTCAGTGAATCAAAATTATCAGTTTTCCCAGACCTATTAAGCCTGTCAAGATCTATGCTAATAGTGAACTGCCTAAAACTAGGAATGGGACTACTTTCGTGGCTGCAAACAACAGGTGAGACTCTGAGGCAGAGAAAAACAGAAAGAACAAAGATTCCAGTATCAGGGAGGACATAATAAGAGCTACCAGCTCACAGGGAGCTATTGACTGACCACATCATAAGGCACAGTACCTTAGTATACCCTTTCAGCACAACTCGATTTGCTTCATTTTCTTTTTGTGGGGAGGGTATACAAGTAAAGATATGTCATATTACTACTTCAAACTTCTACACTAATATGATTTTTATGAGCATATTCTATAAAACTGTTATTCAGGGAATGAAAGTGATATTCTTGGCATCAGGGGTTTAATAGTAATTATTTATTTTTGTCTCTGGTATTTTAATGACTTGAAAAGCTAAGCAAAACTTACCTGATAGAACTGTCACAGAACAGACATATAAAATTAATTTATAATACAGTGCTGCAATGTTCATTTATCTATCTGTACTTTTTCAGAACCTAAAAGACTCAGTTAGACTATTCTAATTACAACCCAGTAACCAATGCAACTTTTCCTTTCATTCCTTTCTGTAATATTTAGTGCCTCAGAGGAGAGAAAACTAGAAAGGTCTGTGTGTCAGCCTGACTAAAGTCCTCAGTCTTCTTGTTGAAATTCACATCTGTTCAGAAGCATTCAGAGCTAGTGTTTTTAGAAAGGTTAACAGCATTCATCAACACTGAACTGGTTACTGCTGCTCATCTATCTTTAGCTGAAGTAAATAACCGGCGACAACAAGTTCTTTGACAAATTGGGATTTAAAACAAGGATATGCACTAGACAAATAGTCCATTCAGGTTTTTATAGAACTCATCACGTTCTACCAAAGTGTTTCTACCCAATGTGCTTCTTCCTTTTTGACTTAGCATCTTCAGCATCTCTTTGAGATTAAAGTAGAGAGTACGTTGTTTGAAGAGTCCTCAGCTGCAGCAGAGCTAGTACCACCAGTAGTTGCCGTAACTTGGAACAAACTGTCATGTTTGTTGCACATTGTACTTATTTGAGTAATGGTAGAACTCCACATCACAGCAGCTCACCCTGCCTGGGTCATGCTCTCGGCCTTCCTTTTTTTCTTTTTTTTAAATACGAAATACCAACACTTCTAGGACAAAGTGAGAACTGTGATGTAGGGGAGTGAGAGAAAGTGAGTGCACAGGTGGAGAACTCTTATGATAAATAAATAGCTTCTTCTGCTGTCAAATGATCATCTGTACATGTCAGACGGCATAAGACTACAACAAGGATCTCATCCAGTCACAATTACCTGGAGCTGGGTCTGGTGACAGTGTTCCTTTTAAGTACAGCAGAACCAAACTAGGTCACAAAATGGTGTATCATTGTTAACACAGCAAGGGAAACATTAACGACACTCTGTAAGAAGCAAATACTATACTAAAGGAGACGACAGATGGCAGTTGCTGCCAAGTGGATGATTCTGACTCCTTTGGCTCAGACACATAATTTAATATAGCTAGGATCATGGAATTCAGAAGAAATTTCGACCATGCTGGCTGCCAGAATGAAAGCCTAATCAATTTTAGCTAGGATGCCACGTCTGATAAAAACTCCCCTACATGGACATTTTTGAAAAGGAAGGAAGTTGAGCCATTACTCCTTTCCTAAACTGGAAAGTTTCAATTTTCTATGAGATGGGTGGGAACAATTCTGATGTTCTCCCAGAAGCAAGAGCGAATCTGCCACAAGATGGAATAGACTATCGTTGGGGGCGGGATGGGGGGAAGGTGGAGGGTCATAGAAAATGTGTTGGGAGACAGAGGGGTGAGGGATAATATAAAAATGAACAGTGTAAGTTTAAGTGATGATTTCCAGCTTTCCACATCTAGAGACCCTACTCAATTATGGTAAATGATAAGCAAAGAAATGGAAGGAAGAAACACATCTGAGAAGGTGAATGAAGACTGTTTTGAAATTCCTGCCTGCATGATCAAAGGCGTGGCTGGGAACGAGAGTTTCAATCAAGGTATTATTTGGACATAAACAACTACTTCTGCACCATCTGTTTTTCCAGTGGACCCTATTTGGTGTAACTCACAAGCCTGTACTGAGATTGGCTGTTGCTGAACCAGGATAAGGGCATTAAAAGATTTCTTTTCAGATATTGTTGAAAATAACTCAGCAATATGAATAACTGCCTGAGAATTATTTCAGAAGATTCAGCTCAAGATTAAAATGCCTAAATATAGGCACCCAAATGTGGATGTCTGCATAGAGCCAGAGAAAAACTAAAGTTGGGAAGGTCCTTTAGAAGTCCTTCCACTCCATCACTCAAAGCAGGGCAAACTTCAACTGCAGGGCCTTTTCCAGCTATGTTCTGATTATCTCCAAAGACGAAGATCCAAAAATTTCTTGGGATGATCTGTTCTAATGTTTATCCTCTGTCACTGTGACTTTTTTTTTCCCCCTTAATAACTAATCACAATTTTCGTTGTTGCAACTTGTTCCCCTTAACTTTCCATTGTATATCTGTAGAAAGATCTTGGCTCCTTCCTCTTTATATACTCCCATTAGATATTAGTAGACAGCAAAAATCAGATTATTCCCTTTCCCTTTTCTCCTTCAGGCTGAACAAACCCAACTTCTCCATCCCTCCTCACATATCATGTGCTACAGCCCTTTAATCATCTTGGCGGCTTCCACTGGCTTTGTGTGATATCTCAACATAATCCTTCTACTGGAGAGCTCAAAACTTGACAAAATAGCCCAGGTGCAGTCACACACGCACTGGTCATGCCAAGTGAATATACACACATGGACTAAATATTGAAAAGGTAACAAATCCCTAGTCTACATGGACGCTGGACCATAGGTAACATGATAGTAAGGACTGCCCATGAGAGATACGGTATTTTGCCAGTGTCAAATGTACTGTGAAAAAACACCAAGGTTAAGCTAAGTAAGAATTACAAGTCTTAATAGCAGTTTCTTAATGAATTTAGAAAGGAGTGACGAGCAGGGGGATCTTTTCCAAAGCCAGAAGTCACTGCTGTAATCAGGATATGAAACAGCACATGTGGGATTCAGTCTAATGTTCAGACATCTGCATTTAATTTGTCCATGTGCACAGTGCATCTGAAATCCCATTATAATCAATGCACTTTTTTTTATAAGTTTGATTCACTTAAACATAAGTGTCTGAAGCCATCTGAGATGGTCTGTTGAGACATTTGGTATCTATCTCAGACATCCAAAGTCTCAGACTAAGCAGACATGACACATCATGTCTGTAACCTTCTGTAGAGTAGGTGGAGGCCAAGTAAGACACTCTAAAAATCCTCTAATGCCACTAGGTATCATTTTGTGACCCAAAAAATTAAATCTCCATTCAACTCTGGGAGTTTAGAACCTAAATCAATTATAGACATCTGCAAACAAAAACCTGGAGCACAATCCAGTTGCCTAAATCTAGGAATTTAGTAACATCTGAGATGCCATAATGTATTTAAGATATCAACACAGTGCTGGAAGATGTGTCACAGACACCAAAGATATCCAGGATATCCAATCTGTCCAAGAACATCCAAAATGGCATTAGACGCTTACAGTTAGACAGGAGAATCACGCCCCTAACATTAGAAGTCTTCGTACTGAACTAAATCCAACCCTAAGCATTTAGGCCAGAGAATTAGCTGTGTGTACAAAAAAAAGGAAGGTTAGATCATTAGGGAAATTCGAAAACTTACAGCATTTGATCTGGTTGTTTATGCAGCACAACAGAGATGCCAACAGATCTTACCACAGTGGCAAGTGCAGAGGGCTACAATGTGTCATAAGTATGCTACTGGCAGCCACTTTCCTTTCACGTCCATATAGTGTTGTAGCCCTCTGGTCCCAAAATCTAACTTTCAGATTGCTTTAAAAAACAAGTCAATCCAATGCATGCAAGAAGGGCGGGGGGCAGGGGGGGGAGGCGAGGAATTGCAAAGGAAGAAGGCTTTGCTGCTCATCAAATTGTCATACCACATGCAAGTGTAATGAATATATCTTCTATTTCAAATACATACAAGTTTCTTGTGGCAGTGACCAGGCTGTGAATGAAATATATCCTCTTTGCCATGATCACCTATAATTAAGCTTTGACTTAAATTAGGGGTTTTTTTCTCATTCTCTTTTTCTTTCAAACTTTTCAGGTCAGCAACTGACATTTCAGGTCTGACATTCATGGCCGCATTACTCTCTCCAGCAGCCAACATCTGTAAAAGAAACAGCAAAAAGTCGGTCTGTTAATAGAAGGCAAATGGACCCGGATCATATACCGTTTAATCATTAGGCTATCTGAATGCTTTGCAATAATAATTCTTACCTTTCAAATGTTAAATTACTACAAAGAGTTATGAATAACACAAAATGTTATTCATAATACTGCAAGATATAGCAGGGTTACTTATTAGCTACTAAAATTAAAGTCTGTCCTCGCCACTTTAGACATTGTATTTTGTATCTGAATTACAGAATATCAAGGTGTATGCTTTTACTCTCCTTTTCTTGCTTTGGAAAGGACCTTGAGCCCAAAGACAACAGAAGACTAAGGGCTCAAACTAAATTCTAAAATGTTAAACCTTTCTTAACCACTAATCTCATTGAAAGAAAAACAGAAAAAGCCTAAGTAAAGCTTGGCAAGCTAGAATTTCAGACTGAGAAATATCACAGGCCTGTTGACATCTGTAGAGGAGGAATTTGGTAAACCGGTGATGCCTTTCATTCAATGATGAAATTGGATAGTTGCTACAGAATATTTGTATGTCCTCTTACAAGTCTGACTTCTCTGATTGTTAGCAGTAAATCAGAGGTATCTTTTATAAAAAGCTAGAAGATAAAATATCTTACAGTAACTTTCAGTTTATCTTGTTGCCTCAGCTCAGAGCTCCACTTCTCAGGAATAAAATAAAAACAACAAGATGATCTCCAGTCCCCTACAGGCTAAAGAATGAATGAATCTAGGCAATACTGTGCCAAGAGGAAACACTGTAGAAATCTGTTGTATGTCTATTAGCTCTTCAAACTGACAGCAAAGATACTAACATAGTCTCTGCATGCCCTTCTACATTAATATGGAACTAACGCCATTAGCCTGGCTAATTCCTCCTCTTGCCAACTAGTAGGCCTTCTGTATGCAATCACTCAAAAAGAGGCATGACACCCCTTAAACAGCTCAGTGCAGTGGCTCTCTGAAAGCTTGCATTTTCAATGAATCCTGAAATCTATCGGCAGCAGAACTTCCATTCTCAGGGAACTGTAGAAAAGACTACTTTTCTTATGGATGCAAATTTCTCCACTCGTCCTGCCCTCATCAGACTGCGCAGTAATAGCAAGCAGGAATATCCAGAGAAAGGACTTTTTGTACACAGCAGTAGTGGTAGTGTACAAGGATGGGACAAACCACAAAGCACAGGCACCTATGCAATACCATAAAAGCTATATACTTGCCAGCAAGCCATTCCTATACAATGTCAGGTCTTCAAATCCTAAAACTTAGTATGATTCAACTTGGACTCGTGCTGTTTGTTTGTATCATGGAAATGTCTACAGATATTTCGATATATATATACTTACATGTGTATTTATAAAGAGATAGAGACAAAAAGAAATTAAGAGAAAGTACTGTAAGAAGTACATTTATTTAAAAACCTTATTTCCCTAATTCACAAACAGAAGAAAACAAAAGGAACCACATGTTACATATTCTATATAATAATTTACAAACCTGTTCTTTCTCTAGAATTTGTCTGGCATCCTGAATTAATTTTTCCTTTGCTGCTGTTTCAGCAAGAGTAGCTCTATTTTGCTCTTCATATGCCATGGTTACTACAGCCAAGATCAGATTGAAGAGATAAAATGAGCACAAAAAGATGACCCCCATAAAAAATAAAATGTAGTTCTTTCCAGATGTACGGATAGTCTGCGAGAAAAAGGCAAAGGTTGCAATAAATTCTTAAAAACACATTTACAATAGAATTTCAAGCTAACTTTAAACCATTAAATTTCCTATAGAATATAAATGTCAACATACTGCACTGTTTTCTTTAAACAACAGTAGGATCTACCTCCGGTCTAAGTCACACAGAAAGTCTAGAATTGCGTCTAGTTAGGAGTTCTCCTGGCCTTCAAGTACATAAATTTAGCTCTTAACAACTTCTCTGTGATCACACAATATTTTCCCTTTATGTAACAGATGATAAAACATTTATAATGATGCCATGTATTGCAGAGAAGAATTAACAAAATCCATTCTTAAAATTAAATTAAATATTTCCCAGAAAATTGGGCAAATGATCATTAGAGTTTAAGTCATGAGAAGACAAATTCAGCTGTAAAGAGATATATAGGTGACTACAGAAGAAATTAATAAACTCAGTAAAAAGGATGAAAGCTAGGATTATCTCAGTAACCATGAAAGATGCTATAATTAGTGAATCAGAGGCAATATTTAGACTGATACCTTATTCTCACATTTTTTAAATGGCAACAGAGGGGACAGCTCAAAGTTAAGCTCTGAGACATTAAAAACTCAAAAACACGTGACCTCCAAATGGCAAAACAAGGATGTATCCACTTAAAAAACCTCAGTTAATAAAGGTTGCTGGGAAAAAGCTGAGGTGGACTACATGAAAGTTGTAGAGCAAGGAAGACGATAACTGCCTTCAAGAGAAGGCACTGCATAGATGTAAGGGTTCCAGAGATTTCTCTACATGCAATTTTTGTATTATTTTTGTCAAAAAACACAATTTAAAAGTTATATTCATCTCTCTGAATCAAAACATAAAGGCTTCAATTTTTTTTAGCACCAGTTGTCAAAAAATCTGAAATGTAAGTGTGTATGTTGAGCCAAAAGGTTTGGTGAGGAGTCAGGACTTAGAAGCAAGAGAAACTGAGTATGTAACCAGTGGTCGTATCCCCTGCAGCAGCAGCGAGCTCACCAGCGGGATCTGCTACGCACCCCAATCCTTTGGTAGTTACATATTGACATTTAACTATTAATCACTGACCCGAGTGTGTTCTCCAACAAAACCATGAGCATTCACAGCAGGATTGCTCCCATCCAACGTCACTTGCACAAAGTGTTACAACTTAGTCACTTGAAGCTACTGCCTTAATATTCATGTCGATTTTAACAGAAATTTGGTATCAGTAATGTTAAAACATGCGCAGATTTTTCTAGCAGATATAAAGCTCTAAACTGCATGTCTAAAGTCATTCTAGCAGATAATAAAAGTACCTACCTGTCTGTAGAGACGCTCCCAGTTATCCTGTGTCATCAGACGGAATAAAGAAAGGAAGGCCCAGCCAAAATGATCAAAACTTGTATAACCAAAGTCAGGATTCTTCCCAAACCTCACGCAGCTATAGTTTTCTGGGCACTCATTGCTAACCACAAAAGAAATGTTAAACAATACTTACTTGCAGCATTAAATTGTACTTGAAAGCATCCAGTACACATCAAATATAAATTTGTTTCGTCTATCCAAAAGTCTGTTTCATTATTCACCAATATAATTCTGCTGGAAGGGCTGATCTATATCAGAAAACCTTAGAAAGCCATTTGCCTAGTCAAACAAATTAGACAGAAGCTGTAGTTCTGTCTAGTTTCTGACTAGACAGAAACTCTCCACTGATGTACGATGCATTCAAACAAATACATAGAGTGGGGAAAAAATGGAAATATGTTTACATTTAAAGAATTCACCAAGATGAGGAGAGGAGAGTTTGTTCATATCTCACAACTCTTTACTGATCTGTTCCCCTCCTCCTTTCTATCATTCCACATTACCACTGTATTACCAGTGGTTAGCAACAAAGAACATATATAATTGTTTGCATCCTAGTACTTTACTTCATGCTTTTTCTGATGTGAAATATCTGGGTTTTAACTTAATAACACACACACACACATATTTCACCCTCCTGAAAAATCATCACCGTTCCTTTAGGCCAAAAATAAAACCACAGTACATCTGGAGGGGGGAAAAAAGAAAGTACTAAAACCATTCTGTTCACTTACTGAGAACCTGAACTGTACCCACAGAGCAGTATTTCAGGAGAATTATTCATTCTGGCGCAGATATCTAATAAAAAAGTTCAAGGAATTATAAAATCAGAAGTTGTCGGTTCCTACCACACTGACATTAAACCATACATTACTGCACTTTACAAAACAGCTGATGGACCAAATCTCCATGAAGGGTTCCTTTCACAGAAAAGGGTGTATAGCGCTGTTTCTCAGCAGATCTATCCCTACATCAATTTAAAGAAAAAAAATTAACTGCATAACTCACAATGTAAGATTCTATTTGATCTATTGTAAAAATGAGAATCTCTGTGAGAAGTAGACAAAATCCCTGAACAACATAGCTTCAGTGATGGAAAAAATCATTCTTTGTGCAGTACCCCTAAAATTAGCAACCTTGTGCAATGTGCGTAGGTAAAGAAGCAAATGCTTACAGAAAACTCAGTTCCTCCTGTTCCACAGACTGCTAATCTGTCTCCAAGTCCCACATTCACTAATCTCACATTCAGTTGTCCCAGAGACTTCATATTACTACTTGTGCAAATGTAAGGATATGCCCTCTTGTGAGAAATACATGCAACTATATTTTAACATCTCCGTGAAAAAACAAGGCATACATAGGAAGATACACAGATTATGTAAAGGGAAAAAAGAATTAAAATTACCTTCACTATTTGGTACATATATCTTCGCTTCCTTACATAATGCGTCATTGTATGTAGTATTACTGAGGACACATTTGGATTTTAAATTGCCCATAAAAAGCTGGAGGCCTATTAGAGCAAATATACTCAAGCAGAAAACAGTCAAGATCATCACATCAGTAAGTTTCCTAACAGATTCAATAAGTGAATTTACGATGACTTTCAGACCTAGAAAAATAAGATTCAATAATATGCAAAATTATAAGAGGAATGCAGTAGTGTTCCCATACAACAATATACAACAGTTGCAAGCACGTTAAAAACAATCAGTGTTAATGGCTTTGTAACTTCAGAGTACTAAAAGAGGTAAAATAAAGCATAGAAGTGAGTAAAGTGTTTTTACTTAAATTTCCTAAACATAAATTATTTGGCTTTTAGTTCCTTCTAACACTAATTCTGCTAACAAGAAAACTGTAAATAAAGATGCCATCTGAACGAACTCTTACTAACATTAATGAATATGGACAGATTTCTGTGCTTGATTAACATTAACCAAACACTTCACAGTGTGCTAAATCTACATGACAATAAAGGATAGCTTCTGCCGACCTCAAGGAATTCTGTCTTAGAAGACAATGCCTTACAGATGTCATCAGTTTAAAAGCAAAAGAACATTTATGACACCAGGAAGGGAATAAATGCATGTTGGTGACCACCCAGCAGGAAACTAGCTTGGCAGAAAAGGACCTGGGGTTCTGGCGGACACTAAGATGAACATCAGCCAGCAACACACCCTTGCCACAAAGACGGAAAATGGTATCCTGCACTGCATTAGGCAAAGCATGGCCAGCAGGTCAGCAGAAGTGATCCTTCCACTCTGCTCAGCACTGGTGGGGCCACATCTGGAACACTGCATCCAGTTCTGGGCTCCCCAGTACAAAACAGACACGGGCATAGTGGAGAGAGTCCAGCAAAGGGCCACAAAGATGATCAAGGGAGTGGAGCACCTGTCCCATGAGGAAAGATTGAGAGATCTGGGACTGTTCAGCCTGGAGAAGAGAAGGCTCAGGGACGATCTCATCAATGTATACAAACAGCTGCAGGGAGGGTGCAAAGAGGACGGAGCCAGACTCTTTTCAGTGGTGCCCAGTGACAGGAACAGAGGCCACGGGCACAAACTGAAACACAGGAGGTTCCCTCTGAACATCAGGAAACACTTTTCTACTGTGAGGGTGATCGAGCAGTGGCACAGGTTGCGCTGTGGAGTCTCCATACTCAAGAGATATTCAAAAGCTGTCTGGACACGGTCCTGGGCAACCGGCTCTCAGTGGCCCTGCTTGGAACAGGGGGGCTGGACCAGCTGACCTCCAGAGGTTCTTTCCAACCTCATCCATTCTCTGATTCTGTGAAAATGGGTTATATATAAACTGAAGACCAATATTCTGGCAGAATAACTGAATTTGAAATATGACACGGGCAGAGAGTGGTATCCAGGATTTTCTTTGAAGTCTTTCATAATAAAAAAAGAAAGTTACATTTAATCTGTTCTCCACAGTAAATACAAAAGAAAAAGTATTGATAGATGGTTTTGACATTAAAAATTAAACACGTCATATGTTTAATTCCTGTTATAATTCCATAGCAAAATAAAAAATATATTTGTAATCACATAGAAATGGTAAAGTTACTATATATTATGACAATGGGATATATAGTCATTTATAGATTTTCAAACAAGCTTTTGCAGTTAGATTCTGAAATCCATTCTTTGGTAACCTAAGCAGTGACATGACTTACAAAAACATCAAATATCTGGACTGCATATGCAAAATACTATTGATGAAAGTATTACGCTCAATACAGATAGCGACTGTGGTCAGTAATCAAACAAAGCTCTGAAATATTGTGAAGTCAGCATTCTGGGATATGAACCACAAAAGATTAAGCTAATGAAGTATAACATGAAACCAGAAATATTGCGGTATAGCCTCGTTATGTTAAGATAATGTATTGAATAGGGTGTGCTGCTCAGGAAAGACAAAAGACAAAGGCACTGAGCTAAGTAAAGTTGAACACTAGTAATGGGATAGAAAAAGCAGAAAATAAAAAAAAATGCCTGCATCACATTTTGAGGAAAGATGATAAAAAGTACTCTGTGAGGATGCCACTGAGAGTTGCCACAGACTGCAAAACAGTCGCACCTTGGGATCCCATTAACCATCACAAAAAGCGACCAGAATACTGAAGACAAGAACAGGAGAGGAATTAGAAATATCATACTGATGAAGCTGAGAGAAAATTAGCAAGATGTGCTGTTCCTTACCTGGTATTACTGAAATAGCTTTCAAAGTCCTCAGTACTCTGAAAGTTCGAAGAGCTGAAATCTTGCCCGTGCCTTTAGACAGAGTAATATATCTATAAAATTAAACCACCATGTAACTGAACGACAAAGGTCTAGATTTTCAGAGCACGTGCACACTGAGCACACAGTAGCAAATAATTTACAGAAAATAAATAGGTCAAACATGTCCTATACACCTAGTAGGTGTCTAAATTTAGGAATATAAGTCCATTTCTAGGTACTGATATAAAATAATGAGACTTTTGAATACTGCCTCTGGAAAGAAACACTGCAAGTTTTTACTTAGTGTGGATTTGGATACTTAGATTTTGAAGTGGTTATCCATAAAAAAGTCAAATAAATATAAAATCTTCAATATCCTAATCACACCCTCGCATACAGAGGCTCATCTGATTCAGACCACATGCAAGTACAGGTTGCAGCTATCTTAAAACTACACAACATATGCTTTAGAAGAACGTTGAGCAAAACTAGGTTTACAGTATGTTAATTCTATACTGCATCGCTCTCTAACTTTTATTTAACAGTCATCTATGAACCTAGTGAACCTAGCGAAACTAGTTTCAATTTAACCATTTCAACAATTTGAAAATTTCCAAAAATGAGGATTTTGAGAGTTGCATATTCTATACAGCACTTTATCATTAACAGGTTGCCTCATATTTTATAAGACTTCTTTCACATCAGAATGAACATGAACTGTGACTCATCTTATGGCAAGGTTATAAATGGTAACAGAATTCCGTAACATATTAAGTCTCAATAACAGAATTGGAGAAACATTGCTTAGAAGTGACCTTTGGAGGTGACCTAGGCAACCTCCCACTCAAAGCATGACTTATGTCAGCTATCGAGCAGATCACTTTGGCTTTGCCTAGGCTGTAAGATTAAACAGCTCTCAAGTGTCTTAAGTAATAACTGTACTTGAGCTCACTGCTGAGCTAATTTCCAAACACTTTCATTTATTGCATGATAGGATCGAAAAACCCCAGGAGATAGTATATTGCAAAGTGTTTATATCTGCTTGAACACGAATTAGGAGTATGGGTAGGGAAGTAGGACCATAAAATGAAATTGTTCATACAACTGTCAGACTACTTGATAGTTGCTGATGCTCCTTAGTGGTTTATAGATTACCCATAAGAAATCTTTGTTCATATACATATATACGGGTGTGACGACATCTAAGTACTCAACCTATTTACAAACAAGGGAAAACCAGGCAGGGATCTGATAGCTGATAACAGCCTTTGCTACAGGGCCCCTGAGATGGTGACGTTTAAGACCCTGAGAGAATTAAGCAAGATGAATAGCAGAATAAAAATCTTGGGACTTTAGGATAGCAGATTTCAGCATGTTCAGTGACCTGAAACTGTCCCAAAGGCAAAAGTGGCCCCCAAAACAGCTGGCTGATCTTTATGGGTATTTTCTTCAAAGCACAGGAACGATGCAGTCTACTCTGTAGAAAGTCAAGTGGATGTGGCAGAAAACCAGCCTGTCTGAACAGGGAGCTGCTGAGTAATCTCCTATTCAAAAAGAATTGTGCAGGAGGTACAAGCAGAGGTAGCTCTGGGAAGGGACGCTAACACATTGTCAAGCATGCAGGGATGAAGCAAGGAAAGACAAAGTTCAGCTGAAGCTGGACCTAGCAAGGGGTGCAAAGGGCAACAAGAAGGGCTACTTTCAGTGCATCAGCAGTGAAAAGATGACTAAGGAAACTGTGGACCTGTTGTTCAAGGAGGCAGGCAACCTAGTGACAAAGGACATGCAAAGGCTGGAACTACTCAGCACTGCCTTGATTTGGTTTCTACCAGTGCAGTCTGCTCTCAGGCCTCCCAGGTCCCTGCGCCTAGTGTCAAAATTTGTGGAAGCGAAATATTATCCATGCAGCTGTGTGCTGTGATCAAAGGGACAAAGCTCAGCTGGCAGCTGGTTACTAGTAGCATCTCTCATGGGTCAGTCCTGGGGCCAATACTGTTTAATGATTTTATTAATATCCTGAAGAATGGAACAGAGTTTGCCTTCAACGAGTTCACAAATACTAAGCTGGGAGGGGGGGGAGCAGTGAATATACCAGGTGGTGAGGCTGCCATCTGACAATTTCATTTGGTGCCCTAGGACTCATTGTAGGAGAAAAAAAGAAATTATTCATGCTCTTTTTGGCTCTGTGCCACACACTTCAACCATGTTCATGCTCTGTACTTTTTTCATAAGAGTTCTACTCTATTTGGTTTCTTATTATGTGGAATAGAAGATATGCATCTTCTCTGTATCTATTTTAATTCTGTCATCTTTTGAGATGTCAGGAGCAGAACTACTCGTAGTCCTGAAGAAAAATACAGGCCATACAGTGAAATAATGACGTGTTCTGTTTCTTTCTTTATTTCTTAACCACAGTGTCCTCATTTTCTATTTCCTTTTTGGACCATGACTGCATGCTGGAGTGGTGTTTTTGCAAGACTGTCTATTTTAATTCCATCTCCCCAACAAGTGCAAGCTATTTCAGAGCCCATAACTGAATGCAAAGCCAGGTCTCTTTTTCCTTGAGCATCACTTTACGTTCTTGGGATTTCATCTGCTGTTTACCACTATGTCATTTGACACCTTGTGACCCACTTTGGATCCTTCTCAAATGAGTTTCATCTGATCCAGAGTACAACCAAGAGAATACAAAGAGGCATGATTGATTTCAGCTGTCTTTGCAATCACTTCTTAGCAAAATCTAAATATGTACCAAATGGAGAACAATCAAACAATTCTAAACTGAGCTTTACATTTAGGTCTTGCTTTAAGGTCTATGACTATTCTTCTCTTTGCAGATATGCAAAGAGTGATTCAATCACAGCAGCTCTTAAGCAGGTAGGATGCCAACCACTCTACAGAACTTCAGCAATATCAAGTAGCATTTTATCTGCGTGTTTGTCCCTTGAGTGTAAAAGAACAACTGAGTTTTACTTACGTTATGACCATAACGAAAAGATCTAAGCAGTTCCATGGATCTCGAAGAAAGGTAAATTCATTCCAGATAAGACCTCTTGCTAACAGTGCTACTAATAGTTCACCAGTATATATGCCAGTAAAAAGATATCTGAGGAGGAAAGTGTATATTAAAGTTACAGAAATAAAAATACTAATGAGATGATTGAGACACTTTCAGGCACATTTCTAACTTTTCTATGATTTAGTCACTGGATGGAGATGAAGGTAGAAAATGTGAAGTAAAATAGACAGGTTATATTACTTTCAGAAACATCATGGGTATAAGAAGATGCCTTCCTGAATTTTAGTACCATTTCCATGTAAATCTATAATCACTAATGTTCATATCAGCATACCACACTATTTCTGGATGAAGGATAGCTCACATTTCCTTATGAAAAATATTTAAGACTGTGTTTATGTTCTAAAACAGGCTGGAAAATTTCAAAGTCTCAACATTTTGGCAGAATGATAACAGCAAAACTTCTTTTAGCCTGTAAAGTTGCACATTTTATACATTTATTCTGATAAATACTCTGTAACTGAAAGAAATCCTACATAAAATTAACCTATCATTATCATGATGCTTACCTCAAAATAAGAGGAATTAAAATTATAGGACCGCTGAGGCCCCAGGCATATTTTCAAGATTTAATTCCAGAACATTAACTCAAGCTACACTGGATACAGTGCACAATTACAAAAGGTAACAAGACATTATAAATAGATGGCTTCCAAACACGAAGAAGTGAACTAAGGGTCTACCCAGGAAACAGCAAGAAAGAATGGAATGAATATTTATCCCTTTATACTTTTTGCATGAGCCGGCCATAACAGATATTTGGGTTATTGCCTTAGAATGAGAGATCTTAAGTTAGAATCCTGCTGCACAGCCTCTCTAAAAGGCTTAATCCTTAAAAGGAAAAATGGAGCAATCTTCTATGTACACTAGATGGCAAAATTAGCCAACGCAGAGGAAAGGGCATATGATGTAAGCCTCTAACAAAAGGCACTGAAGCTCTGAAGACTGTGTGATATAATAATAATAATCCTAAACCTTCCTCAGATGTCTGAGAATTTTTAAGCCCCAGAATTAAATCATCACATTATTTAAATTTTTCAGTACCACATGTTAGTATCCTTAGCAAAAGAGTGCACAAATGGCAGCTGAGATACTTACTCAGTCCAGGTGAGTGCTTCTGGAAGCTTATTCACAGCCATGGAAACACAATTGAGGACCACAGTACATTGAATAAAGCTAACAAATAACGTGAATAGTAAGTTATGGAAAAAGTGCTACATTGTAAAGCAATGAATTTCAGAAAAGTTGCTGATTTACACATAAAAATACATACAGATACTCAAATAATTACTTTGGTTTTGAATATGCTCAGAATTTTTCTTGTGTTTTCCACAGAAACTGATGTTAGATCAAACTTCTGTTCAGCTGGGTAAACTTCATGACTTAAAAAACCCAGTGAATTATCTCCACGTGGAGATAGTCTTGGAAGTTAGTACATTAGTGGGGCATAATATGTTTGGCAGAAAAGATGATGAACATAAATAAATGAAACAAATCTGAGTCCTCTGCTGTCTACTGTTATTTGAAACTTTAGAAACCTCCATTTCTTTCCAGCAGGAGCATGGAATAGAGAGAAATGGGCCACAACCTGACAATAACTAAGGTTTTTAAGCCTAGGAAAACCAGGTGAAAAAACTTAACTATCAATAACCAGTGTTCTTGGAAAATGGGAGTGCATATACACATTCCTACACGAGATACCTATGCTCTGCAATGAGTTCAGAAAACTTTCTCATTTTATGTGCCAGGCAATGAAAACATACATAAGGAGAAAATATCCTTTCATGAAAGTTCACCTGTCACCTAATAGAAGTATGGGGGTTTTTTTTTAAACAAACATTGGTCTTGAATTTATGGTTTATTTGAAACTGAACAGAAAATTTGGTAATCTCTAACAGCATGAATACATATTCAAAGTCAGACATAAGTTCCCACAAAAGGACCTATTTCTACAAAATAATAATTCTAACTGAAAAGAGATGTCTGGCAGAAAGAGCAGAAACTACTCAGCCTATGGTTTTGCACCTGCGATCCTTCACATTTTTACATTCTTCAAACTACTGTTATATTTTTGCAAAAATATAAAAAATGGGCACTCTTCAGAACTTCCTAAACTTGAGTGTGAAATACATTTCTTAGGATAACATCAGACTCTTTCAAAAAAGCATTGCCTTAAATCACATCCTTCATGTTTTAATAACTAGGGAGTCACTGGTTTGGTTTGGCGTTTTTGTTTGGGTTTCTTTTTTTTTAATTCAAGCTTGCCACTCCAGTGGAGATTTACAAAAAGTTTACAAAAAGCTGCTAAAAATACAGCAGCCTCTAAACGAAAATTTGACTTTAAATATGAACTTTTTGACATTTTTACTTGTACCAACACCATGTAAATATCCTAGCTGTTGTAAAACAAGACTCAGTACAACTTTTTAAAAATCTATCACAGCCACATGAGCTTACATTTATCTTAATATGAACAAAACAACAGAAAGCAGTACAGTATATTTAAAAATAGAAATAATGGAAACCAATAAAAGGATATGAATGGATCAGAATATGAATTGCTGCTTTTCTGACTGGATTAAAAGGACCAACTATACACAAGGCAGGTGTGGCAGTAAACCGGAAAATAGTCCTCTCTTTATTTACCACCATAAAAGTCTATTAAAAAAAAAGATTCATATTATACGAAATATTTCAATAAAATAAACTTTTCCCCAAAAAATTAAATATTTAGGTTTTCAAATCTGGATCTTGAACTATACTTAACTACAATTATAAGTAAAGCTTTCCTGTATTCTTACTTGGAGCTGTGACCTGATGATACTACATTTTGAAACAAAGCCAGGAGCTATAGAGAAGTTCATTCTTGCCTGTCAGTAAGAAGTAGTAATGGGAGTGAATCTGAAGAGCAAGGGATCATATTCACTTAGTAAAAGTAATTAAAGGATACTATTCTGGGACTGCAACAATCGTGTTAATCATACTCAAAGTACCTTACTCTTGGACAGTTTTATAGGCTACAAAAGATTATTTACAAAATACATATTGTGTAGGACCACCAGAATCCAGCCCAGTCAAAGCAAAAATTTTAATTTTGAAATATCTCTACATTATCAAATAACACTGTAAATTCCCTCTAAGATACCTTAAGGTCCATGCAGCTCAGTACTGTTGTCACATGAAGTAAAAATGAAATCTCTTTAATTATTAATTTAATTATTAAAAACACAGTCCACTAACTTTTATGTAAATTTCTTCAACTGAATCAGCCTTAGTATCTCTTCATCAAGAACATCACTTTGATTACTTTTAGAAAAAAAAAATCACTGGAAGAACAAAGCTGTCTGCATGTTTCTGATTAAGTTATTATATTCCAGTGACTTGCTGATACAAATAGAAGACAGCAACACAGGACTGGATGGAACCTTCTGCTCTTCAGACCAAATCCTCCTCAATAGTAAGCCATCATACAATAGACATTTAATTTAGAAGGGATTCCTAGAGCGTCTACTTTACACACTCCCAACAGGCAACAACACAAAACACTTTGCAATAGCATGGAGTATATGCAATATAAATATGGTACAATAAACAAAGCTGATGAGACATAACAGAAAATTTATTTACTATAATGAAAATATATGTTTTTGCTATACAGAGTACTGGAAATATCTCATATACATTTCCCCTAATTTGTATAGTATTTGTAATTCAGCATAAGCATCTGCAGGAAGCAATTCCAGCATGATCTACTGTTTGACAGGCAGTGTTTATATGACAGTGAGTTCAGCCCCACAGATATCACAGAAACTGCTCTGGAAAACAAAGCATCAGTTATTCCAAGATATATTTCCCATCAAAGTGTATCTATCAACTAAATCATGTTTTCAGAATTAATTGATCGCTGACTGCAACTTAAAATACCTTTTCATCACATAATATGGAGCACACCTTAGCACTGAATGCCCCCAAAAATGCTGATAAGGTTGGAAAATCTGTATACAGAACAATCAAAAACCAGTATCTCCTGAATAGAGCTTTTACTCTCTCTTAAGCATTCAGCAGACAAAATCAGATACAAAAACACTTTTGAAAGCTTTAACCTTGTGATCATTGTAGTATGGATCAAAATCTTCCAGGGGTTCCCCAATAAGCTCCACAGGAATATCCCCATATAGAGATGGCAGTTTTTTGCAGGTTTTCAGATCAAGCTGAGGAGTAAGTTTATCTTCTTCAGCTCCTTGCCCCTTACTCTCCTGTTTAACTTTGGCTTGCTGCTTTTTTTTCTCAGCAATTCTTTCCTTGATTGCTGCCAAGGACTCAGGGGTGAAACGCCGAAAGTTGTTAGCTTCTGATGGACAAAACAAGGGATCCATTTTTCCTTCTATATGTTCATTTCCAGTGCTAGAAGTAACTTAAAAGAGAAAGCTATTGACAATTAGAAAATAACAGAAACATTATACAACTTCAAACTAATAACCTTTAGATAAATTATTTCTTCCTTCTGTAAAACCCCGTACGAACGTAAAATAGAATAGAACAGGACTATTTCAGTTGGAAGCGACCTACAACAATCACGTAGCCCAACTGCCTGACCAGCTCAGAGCTGACCAAAAGTTAAAGCACGTTACTAAGGCATCGTCCAAATGCCTCTTAAAACACTGACAGGCTTGGGGCATCGACCACCTCTCTCGGAAGCCTGCTGCAGGGTTTGACCACCCCCCCGGTAAAGAAATGCTTCCTAATGTGCAGTCTACACCTCCCCTGGCGCAGCTTTGAACCATTCCCACATGCCCGATCACTGGGTCCCAGGGAGCAGAGCTCAGCACCTCCCTCTCTACATCCCCTCTGCAGGAAGCTGTAGAGAGCAATGAGGTCACCCTTCGGCCTCCTTTTCTCCAAACAAGACAAGACCAAAGTCCTCTGCCACTCCTCATGAGACATGGCTTCCAGCCCTGTCACCAGCTTTGCTGCCCTCCCTGGATGCATTCAAGGACCTTCAGATCCTTCTTAAACGGTGGGGCCCAGAGCTGCACACAGTATTCCTGGTGAGGTCTCACCAACGCTAAATACCAGTGGGATAATCCCCTCTTTTGACCGGCTGGTTATGCTGTGTTTGATGCACCCCAGGATATAAAACAAAACAGATTAGAAACACATTCACTTAGAAGAAAGAGTAACGTAAAACCAAATTGACGAAGATCAACAATTGATTCTGGATCCACCCTGTATAACTCAGGTTGCAGAAGAGATACTTTTTTCCTTTACCTTTCAACCTAGAAAGTGACAAAATCACTTCTCTGTCAGAACTCTGACAATCACCTAACTCTTTCTCTCTGTAGCAGCTTATACTATCAGCAGCCTTGCACCTGAATTACTGTACTGCTGTACTTCTTGCAAACAGAAGTTAGTTCTACCTCTGCCACCCCTGCTGCTCACAGGGGTCACAAAATGGTCTAACTGGAAAGGACCCTGAGACTCACCAGATCCATCCCCTCCTCAAAGCAAGGCCAACACTGAATTTGGCTCAAGGCTTTGTGCAGTTGAGTTTCGAGTACATCCAAGGAGACATTTATGGCTTGTAGTAAAAACAACACAAGAAACGGCAGGTTTTACCTTACTGGTCTTGAGCTTTGCTCTCCTTTGATTCTGCTGATTTGTTAGTCATGTTTGTGCTTTGCTCTTCCTGTTCTTCAGGCGCTCTCCCTCGTGCCATTTAGCTATGGCTGAAAAGCTCTGCACAGAAGGCTTTTTCCTAATTTTGTTGAACAGCAAACTGAGAATGTGTCTACCACTAAGGCTTTACCATACTTGGTTTGATGAAAGGATATTTGCATTGACCTTAAATAACAAACTGTGTTACAAACTTTTATAAACCTAGGCCAAAACCAAGATGTGGTACCTGGGAAAATTCAGAGTTTCAAACATACCTCCAGATTTCCTGAAGTTTCTACAAGACATCTGTTGAAATTAATTTGCCTTGACATGACTTAGCACAAGTCTACTAAAGGTACGGTGCATCACACTACAAGGTGTAGCATGCTGCTTGATATTATTTCACTAGCTTTGCCGACAATGAGTCCTGCATACTTTCACACCATGACTTGGTAATTGTGAATCATTTAGTGAACAGTTCTCAAAAAGTTCCAGTAACACCAGTGACAGAACTGGGATAGCCGCTATGCTTAATTCTGCTTGTGACCACCCCCATTCTCTGTGTGTGGAAAAAACAGGGATCTGCACTTCCAGCACAAGCTTCACTAGGAGGTGATCTGACCACTGACTAACTCTTGTGAAGCTCCAGACCCACTGACTGTTATGCAGAATTTGAACAACCTAGACACCATAAAGGACTACTACAAACCAAACCATCACATAAATCTGGTATCGCCTTCCTCACAACTGTGTGTCAATAGGAAGATTACTCTCTCCTAGAATTCTGCAGGTGCCTGAATGCTTTGTGGCTCTGCCCTAAAGTGTCTGCTGTTTCTGGAGATCTTGGTTATGTCTATCCCACACATCAGAGGAAATAAATTTAATTACTATTAACTACTCGCATTTTGATTCAAGTCACTGACTTGTTTGTTCATGCTGACAGGTCAATTCTGCCTCCCATATCAGCCCAGGAAAAGGTGAATATGATAAAGCAACTTCACCTTCTCACATCTTCACAAATATTGCGGTTCTTCTGGGGATTAGTCGAGTATATTCAACAATTTATTTTCAGTTGTTCTGCCTGAACTTAAATCACTGACAAATGGGAAGGGTGGCGAGGTAATGAGAAGCACTGAAGTGGGTTATGGCAAATCACTGTAAGTATTCAGTTACACACATTACTTGTAGACGACAGAAATTTACATGACTGCAGTTCTCATTCACAAAAGATGAAGAAAATTTTGACCCATTACAGGATGACTTGTCCTTCGTGACTCATGTCAAAACCAACTGCTTCCATCTAATAAACACTTACTATCACCAACGAATCTTTAAAACACTCTGCATTTTTGATTGCCCGAGGTACAGCTGTGCTACTTCAGTTTTGTGAGCTCACATGTGGACCATGTTAAAGAATCAACTCTTGCAATTACAGCTCTCTTCTTTAAATGCACAGATATGTTTCTTTAAAAATGCACAAAGGCCTGGAGCCAGAATGATTGTGCAATGATTTTGCTTTGGTTTAGGTGATTTGGGTTTTTTTTTTCATCCTCTGGAACTTTACAAGCAAGTTCAGATCTGATCAGGGACCGCAACTTGGAGATCAAAATTTACCACAGTAACAAATTGGAAGCACATAATCAAAGAACTGTTACTTTACAAAGCCACACAGACCCATTTCCAATCAAAAGGTCAAAAGATAAAGTGAAAATCAACTTGCTCTTTCTTTTTCAATTTTTAATAATTCTAAGAAGATTAAATTTATCTTCAATGCATTTTTAAGGACAACAGAGAGAGACTGAGCTTTTATGTAACTACATTGACTATAATAAATGAAACAAAGAAAATGTTATTGGTAAATACAAACATTGTTTTAGCATTAAGGATTTGGGAGCAGAATTTAAAAAAAAAAAATGAAGACTGTTTCTGTCAAAAGCAGTGATCAAGACACACATAGACATCCCCTTCAGCAGCAGTGCCTAGAAGTCATAATTGGACAAACATTCACAGACAACGCGAAAGGATTTCTTCAGAAGTCTTGTACCAGCAATGTGCTCATATGGAACAACAGACTTTTGGGCCTCTCGGAAACTGCCAAGTATTTATAGACTGTGACTTAGGTTAGAAAAAGGAAGCTAAGAAAGCCTTGTGAAACAGATGACGAAAACAATTTGAAAAGACAGAGTGACTACTTGAAATTCCCGAAGCTCGGCTGAACTCAGCCACCTCATCACACGCTGCTGAACGAGCTGAATTTTTAAGTCAAGACACTGAGGTAAAGCGTTACCCTTAGAAATAATTTCAGACTTCGCATTGGATATAAAAGTCTCCCTGGTAAAGGATTCTGGGAGGGATGCTATAGAATAAGCATTCTCAGAAGTAAGCGAAAGCATTACTGAGTGGGATTTATTCTAGAACCTGGGAGAACAAACTTCAGTGTGTAAATACAAGTTAGCGTGGGGAAATTGTAACAATACACTACCTAAAGCACGCTGCTGAAGGCAAATACAAGGCTGGAGTCCAGATCTATTAATTTCCAATACAGGATATGTAAGAAATTTCCATTTATATTAAATTAAGAATTGCAAATCCTACAACAGGTTTTGACATCTCTGGTCCTATAATAGAGAGTGGTCCATCAGTAACAGGTACAAATGCACTGGTGCGACTTTCAGTTACTAAAGGAACACTCCATAGGATCAGGAATATAATAACAGGTCTTCAAATTCACCTTTTTTTAAATTAAAATGGAAATTAGTTATTTTTTTCATCTTGAGATGAACTGAATTCAGTGTATATAGCTAAGCACAGTTTTAGGTTAGTCTAACTGGCTTAAGGCTGACTTTGGGTACTGTGGAAATGACACAGAATCTTTTTATGTCAAAACTCAAGGAAATCCAGATATACAGATGAAATTTACTGAAGACATGATCTGCAAAGTATTAGGAAGAGATGAACAACAAGTCATGAAATAAAATGAACACATGGGCACTACTAAAGTACAATTATCCTAAAAAAATTTCTTAAGAGATAAACTGTTGTTTAGGATATTTTTTTCTAAAATAGCAATGTACTGCCAAAAACCGAGTCTATTAATATGATGTTTCACAGACACAAATTACAAAATGCTCACTGGGGTAATAACTAATCACTAGAGATGACAACTAACAGATTTAGACTTTTAGACTGAAAAAAAAAATACAAATTCAAGCCCTATGTGCAACACCTTTATTTGGTCCCATTTACGTGAATTTCTGAACTCCTTTCAACTTCCCAAAAGCACGCAGAGTTCCCTTTATGTGTAGCAAGGTAAGAGCAATCAAACTATTGACTGTAAGATATTCAACAGTCCATAAGAAAGGAATTTAAACTAATAGAATTGCTCAGCAAAACACTATGAAAGTCAGGAAGGGCCTTGTTTTGAGGAGGAGTTTGCCAAGACAGGAAAACTAGTAGGAACATAAATACAAAAATTACCTTATTTGTGTTTCAATCTAGTTCCAGCATGTATAATAACCAATCCTGAGTCTCAAATTATTTCTGTCCGCTCCCTTGTCAATAGCCACCTACTGAATATTTCCTGTGTGCACACGGATCTGAAAAAAATAAAGGCTAAGCTATCTGTTTAGTTTGGTTTTAGTTGGTTTGGTTAGTAGATTCTTTCACATGGGAGTAAAGAATAAAAATGTGTCCCTCCAGCAGGATTTGTTATAAAGCACAA